TGTCACGGACGTTGGACAGACGCCCCTTTTTGCCGCCCATTCCCTTTCCTTTGACGCCCACCTTCCATTTCCGGACCGTTTCCTTTCCTAGCTCATCCCAGTTTGGACACTGTAGATACGTTCCCGTGATCGCCATGCCCTTGCCTTTTCTTTCTCGCCCTTTGTTCCCCCTTTGTCATCTTCACTGCCTCGCTCTCGCGCCTTGTCCTTGGTTGCTAAGCAGCCCCTCTAGTATATAAGGACCCCCCTAGGCGCTCCCTAGTCCCCATCTCGACCTCTTGGTCATTGGGACTAGGTGAGTGACCATAGCGTTGTATCTCTCTTCGATTGCTAATGTATAACTTGGTCATTGGGACTAGTCTGTCGCTGCTTGCGTGAAGGCTAGCTTTCGTCGGTCTCGTGCCTTCGTGCCGACCGCCGCTCTGCCCCGTCGAGTTTTCTGATACGTTTATCCCTCTCTCCCTCGCTTTTCCCCCTTTCGGCTCCTCGCCGCTCGCCTACGGGGTCGTCGCCGAACGTCGACCCGGGTCTACGCGCCTAGTCGCCGCGACATACCTACTGCTCCTCCTGCGGCAGCGCCGACAGCTGCGGTTCCCCCCGGCCCTGCCAATCTCCCCGCAAAAGCGGCTACCCCCGTGCCCTCTTCATCTACACCAGTCCCACCCCCACAACAATACCATCCACCTGTGGCCGCGTCCTCCCCAGCGCCGGGGCCCGTCATGGCAGCATCTCCTCCTATGCCCGTCCAGAGCATCAAGAAAGCTCAACTCAAGAAGAAGTCGGACGGAACGCAACCACCGCTTGTCCCTCGAGCTTCTGCTACCCCCGCGCCGATAGCGCCCACAGCGTCCTCTGGCGCGCCTCTTCCGATACCTGCGCATCTCCACCCACACTATCCTCAGCAGCAAGGCGGTCGCGCGACACCGATGCCAGCGCAAGCTCCGTCCCCTCGCCCAACGTCTGTTGCTCATGCAGGCAGCCCACCGGCGGCATCGGAGCAAAGGCCACCGTCCGTTGTCCCGGCACCTCCCGCTGTTCAGCCTATACAGGCAGTCCCCCAGGCACAACAAAACATACATAGACCCCCGCAACCTTCTCCAGCCCCAGTGAACCCCGCGCATCAGCAAGTGCCTCAACAGCCAGGTATGTCGGGCGCCTACCCACCCCAGATAAGCGCAGCATACATGGCACAAATCGCCGCGGGGAGAGGGCGCGGGAAACCTGCCACTCCGAATGCACAGGGAGGACAGGCGATGAACTACTATCAGCACCAAATGATGCTCCAGCAGGCTCAGGCCCAAGCGCATGCCGTGCAGCACCAACAGAGAATGCAGCAGCAACAGCAGCAGCAACAGGCCACCGCCGCGCGATCTCCCGCGAACCAATCTCGTAGCCCCATGCCTAACCCGCAGGCGCAAGCTGCCGCAGCGGCGGTGGCGGCGGCGCAACGCAACAGCCCCATGGTACAGGCCGCTCAGCTTGGAACTCGGTCCCCGATGCCCCCCGCTGCCCAGCCTCCGCAAATGCAGCAGCCCCAGCAGCAGCAAGCCCCGTCCCAACACCCACAGCATGCCGTGGCGGGCCAGCACCACCCGCAGCAGGTTAACGCCCAGGCGCAGGCGCAGGCATTTGCGCAATACAGAGCGATGATGCACCCGCAAATGCAGCAGCACATCGCTGCCGTCGCGGCGCAGGCACAAGCACAGGCCCAGGCCCAGGCTCACGCGCAGGGCGGGATGCAGCAGTCGTCACAGCAGCAGCAGCAGCAACAACAACAGCAGGCGCAGGCTCAGGCGGTTGCACAGGTCATGCAAAACCCACAGATGATGGCTCAGTACCCGCAGATGTGGGCAAGGATGGGTGTGCCGATGGGTCAGATACCAGGGCAGATGCCCCAGTATTGGGGAATGCCTGCGGGCGCCGGGCGGGGAATGCCTCAGCAGATGCCTGGAATGCAGGGGCACCCGCAGCAAATGCAACCCGGGGCGGGTGCCAAGCCGGGTCAAGGTGGGCAGCAGGGATCATGAGTGTTGGCTCGTGGCGCGCAAGGAAGGGGGGTGTATGTCTTAGCTGTACTTCTATGGACGGTCTAGTTCGCTCGTGCGTGTCCAATCACTGTCTGATGCTCGTTCTGGATCCAAGACGCCGTGATGATTACCAGGCCTATCAGCATTTATACATCCTAACTCAGATATGGGGACTATCTTTGCCTAGGAGGGTTCTAGCCATCTAACACGCGGCTCTCAACCTTCGCTTGGGACGTGTGGACGAGCGCCGGCGTACAAAGGGACGATTCACCTGTAGACAATCGAGAGCTTCTTAAGAAGAGAAGATGCTACCGCATGGGAATGAGATCCGGGAACTGAGCTGCCAAATGTCCCGAGAGAAGCGCGAGATGTCTTCGCATGAAGCTAGTTGGTACGTAAATCAGTCCCATGCTTTTGTACGGGCCCCTCCTTCGCACCTCGCTCCCTGACAGATTGTCCCAGGCTGCTATCGAGAGAGCGGTTTCGGGGCCTGTACGTGCTCGCGGGAAGTCAGCGAGTATGTATTACAAATAGAGCCCGGGACCGTTTGAGTAACGCCGCGCTCCCGTTTGGCGTCGATGTGAATGTGGATGCGGATGGCTTCTTCCACAAATGAAATCCGGGCAGTGCAAAGGAATCGAGACGTGTGGGATTGCATCTGTATCCACGTCCCAGCAACATGCTCAAGCTGACAAGCTGCGCCTCCCCTACGCACGCCGGCTCGGGCTGGACGGTGTCAAGATACGTACACACGCCAGCTGCTAGCAGATGGCCTGAAGGGTGAATTCCGTACATCGTGAGCAAGCGAGAAGCTCCACCAATGCCTCTAGCCAACGCCTGACAACACGTGGATAGCGCGAGACGTAATGACTGGCGGTGGCACTAAATTCGACCACGAACCGCGATGCCGTGAGCCACGAGTCACCGGCGAGACAATAAATGTATTCGTGGTCCAAAGTAAATCCCGAGCCGCACCCGGCTGCGTCGCGATCGTGTCGCATTTCCGGGCCTTCCAACGGAGGAAGCCCTGCAGAGACATGCAGCCCGCGTCTCGATGCGGTCCGTCCATCGAGGTCAGTCAGACTCCGTCGTGAACATCAAAGACACGGTCTTGTCTCTTACCCTATCCAGCTATATGTGACCAATTTACCCAGACTGCGCTGCGTTCCGTTGGCTGTGATCGAACGCTCACCTTCACTTCGCACCCTGTCTGCATGTTACATCGGCGGCGTGTAGATTATGGATGTCGACCAATGACGCGACCCCGTCCGAGGCTGTTGGATAAGGTTGAGTCGAGTCTTGTTGCGAGCGGCGTAGGATGCCAACCCCATGCACTAGAAGAGAATACCGGACGCTACCGTCACGTCGTAGTCATCACCATCATCTACTCGCCTTCCCTCCATCATGGCAGGCCTAAGGGCGATAGCGGTGAAGACTGTGGAATCTCGCTGACGCGGATTCCGTAACTTCAACGCGGCTCGCGCGTCCCGCGATCCGCCGTGGGTTCCCTGCCATTCAGGTTCCGCGAGGGCCATCGATTCGATGTCGGATGCGGCATGATGCATGGGCCCGGGCGAGACGGTGGGATGGTGGGAGACTGGAGACTGAGCCCGACGGGGCGCGGCTCCGACCTGAAGTGGGGCAGGAAGCAGCCCGGAAAGCCGATCAAATAATAGCACCGTATCCGGGGAGAGACCCAACGTCCATTGGTGCGCGAGTTCGAGACGGGCACGGAATGCTGACGGATAACGTATGCTATTGATGCAGGTCAGTAGGGTGGGTAGGAGTATGATCCAATCAGATATCCAGGGCGTTCGTGTGGGCCCATGGAGCGAAGCGCAGCGCACGGTGTGATGGTGATTGGCTTCGGTTGGTTTGCAAGAGAAGTTGAGGGTGGGGGGAAGCTGACGAATCGACCGTATGAATCGGACTTAAACTGGAGGGGCAGGCTAGGGGGTTGGAACTCTTGGGAGAGTAGGTATACACGTACTCATCTGTGCAAGGAGCGTAAAGATATTACAAATGACCGAAGACGAACGGACGGGGGGGGGAGTAGGCAATAGAGTAGCAGATGTCGCAGAGCCAAAGCAGATGTCAAGCGGAGCCCAAGCAGTAGACAGGGGCGGGGCGGGGCAGGAGGTGCGCGAGTCAAGGTGGGACTAAATGGGGCAGGAGGACGGGCGACAAGACAGATATACGATAATACAGGGGCAGGACGACGGAGAGCTCACCGATAGAATCTTGGAGCGAAGAGAACATATGAACAGCGAAACGGAGCAGCGGGCACAAAAAGAAATAGAGGAGAGCAAGAGAGGGTAGGACCACCAAAAACAACAATCACTGCCTTCCGCCATGATACCCTCCATCGCTCCTCCGATCCTGCTGCGAGCCGTACGAATCGTCGTCGTCGCTACTCGACTGAGCACCAGCATCATCGGCGACGGTCTGGTGCGCATTCTGGCCTGCGTTCTGATTGTTGTTTTGGTTCTTGCCCCGGCCGCGTCCGGTCCCATCGCGATTCCGCTTCTTGATCTGTCGAATAAGTCGCGAGCAACGATCATGGTGTAGCGGATGAACGGCGGGGGCAGAGAAGAGGGTAACCACAGCAGCACCGCAACAATCAGAATGCGGATAGATGGCGGGAAAGGGCGGCGGAGCGCTTACCAGTTTAGCGTAGACGAGGCCGCACGCGTTGCAGAGCGTGCGGGGACCTGGAGCCGAAGAGAACGTCGGTGTCAGTGTCATGTTCGGCTCCGCTGTCGGGCGGATGCCACTCGATCTGGAAAACGACTAACCCATCGGGCCTCTGCGCCATTCTGGGGTGGAGGTGGCGCTACAGCCCAGGCAGGTCTGTCCTTCCGTCGCAGGCGGGTTCTCAGACTGCCGCGCGCAGGCGAAGAGAACATTCCATGTCAGCACTGACGTCGCTGCAGGAGGAATAGACTTCACGCACCTGCCGCCCTCCCCCGGCGTCTCTCTCGGCTTCTTCAGGCGGGCGATCGACGGGCGGACGTGGCGGCTCGGGGGCGACGCGCTTCGACGCGACATCCAAGACTTGCGCGCCGTATGCTGCCGCCTGGAACATGCGCTCCAGGGCCTCTGGGGGCGGCGATGGGCGGGTAGGAGCTTCATACTGGATCGTGCTCGCTGTGTCGAGGATGAGCCGGTAGGACTCCACCAACTGGGCGCGATGATAGGTCCGTTGGTTGGGATATGTCGTACGATAGTGTGCTCACATACCTTAACAAAATCGATTCCGATGGGCGAGGTGGTGAGTGGAGGTGGTGCCTGCGGGGCCTGGGGAGGCGACGGGCCTTGTGACGCAGGAATTGGCACAGGGGGCGGGGGAGCGGGCGCAGGGGCGGGCGCAGGTGCTGGGGGCTCTTCACGGGTTTTACGTACTGGTGCAGACGGCGGGGGCGCCGCCTCCGGGCGCTGCGGGGGCCGCTCCTCTGTCCTGCGGGGCTCCGCCCTTGGAGGTGCTTGCTGGTAGCGGCGATCGTCGTGCGACGTGCCGGGAGAGACGTCCGGCCTTGCGCTTGTCGGGGGCGGGTACGGTGGCTGGCCCTGCTGGGGAGGTGGTTGATATGGGACGCCGTACTGATTCCACTCGCCTGACCATTGCGCATGCTGCGGAGGCGGGCCGTAGCCCGGTGGGGGATATCCAGGCTGCGGGGGGTATGGTGGAGGGGCTCCGTTGTAGGGTGCAGGAGGAGGGGCGTGTTGGACAGGTTGTGCGGGAGGAGGAGAGCGTACGGGCGGGCGTGAAGATCCTTGAGCATACTGTCCGTTCTCATATGGCGGCCCAGGATAGGATGCGTATGGATAAGAAGGCGCAGGCGGGACTTCTTGCGGGTGGTACATATATCGACTGTCGGACGCCATCTGGGACGGCGGGCGGGAAGGATCGGATGGTGGTTGTCGATAGTATTGCGTATCGGGGGCTCTAGAGGAGTCAGACGCGAGAGCGTGGTCGAGGGTTGAGTAAGACGTCGTAGAGGCTACGCTGGAACGTGGAGGACGATCAGCGACTGCGTTTTGGGATGAGGGGAAGGGCTTGGCATGATTATGAGAGGAGTTGGGATAGGGAGGCATGCAGAAAGGGTCTAAGGGTCGTCACAGGCGCATGAAAGAGTCGGAGACGCGTCAGAAGAGAGGATGGGTATACATAGTCGGAGTGAGAGGAAATAGACAAGGAATGTCGCAAGACTGGTGAGACGGACGGGCAGGATCACCGCCGGTCTGTATGCGGGGTACGAAGAAGGGTCCGGACATGATGCTACAACGACCACGATCGAGAGATCTCTTCCAAGTCCGCCACGGGCATCATCCCGCCTGCTATGACATAGATACGACAGACAGCTGGGGTTAACCTACATTTCTCCAGACTTGTTTTGCGCCGGACTTGATGGATGTCACGACTATGCCTAGCGAGACGTCGTGGGCTGGATGTCTTGCGCGTTGGCCGAGCTATCGGTGTTGAACAAGGGTCGCGGACACGCTAAGCGGGTGGAAACGCCCAGCTGCCGAAACAAATGGGGCGGGGTCTGGGTGCATAGCGGACGCCTGCGTCAGTGCCAGCTGTATGCGCATATATGGGGACGCAGCGAGGAGCCCGACGGGCACAGAGCAAAGCAGACTCACTGTGTCGGTGGTCGGTTTTTGGTTGGGCGGAGGACGCTGAAATGGACATTAAACTTGAGAAGTTGGCCAACCTAAGATCCACGTGATCCGGGCCCATCAATGTAGCTCAGGCGCCCATCAGCAGATGCGGGCCCAGATCACTCGTCCTCGTCGCAGATGCAATCTCCAGGCACCTCCCCCAGATTCCCGCCACAGATGGTCGATCATCCTCTCTCAAGTCTTGTCCGACAGTGGGTGCAAACGCATCCAACGAGTGTACAATGCGTATTAAAACGAATGTGTGTGCGATACAACTACACGGACGTGGACGGGTATGAGCGTAATGCAACGGCTACTCTATCGTGCACGAACAGTCAGCACGGTGTGCCTGGGCGACCTCTCAATCACCATCAAGCTTGTGCTGCCACTCCGTGTTCCCCTCTGTCACCCTCCTTCCACTTCGCCTGCTTGCCAGCCGCAGGGGGAGTCTCCTTGGCCACCGGCAGCGGCGCAGGGGTCTCAAAGCCAGGGTGCACGTCGTCATCCTGCGCCTTCTCAGCGGCCGCGGCGGCAGTAGCACCGCTTGCTGCTGCTGCAGCGCGTTCACGAGCACGCCTGCGCCGACGCAAGATTTTCTTGCGGTTCCGCACTGCCCGTGCGTAGCTCTGGTCGTCCCCATAGAACAGCTGGTATTCGCAGAACGGGCATATCCACTCCTCCGCTGGGTTCGTCAGCGTCGACACTGGCGTCACGTTCGGCTCCGACTTCTTTCTGCGCCGCGGCGGGATTTCTGCGGACAGAAAGCGCAAAGGGAGCGGCGTGAGCAGGTTCTGTGCGTTCTGCATCGCCTGCTGCGCACTCGGAGGCCCGCTGTGAGGTAGGCGCGACGGCACGTAGTTCCGGAGGTGGTGCGGGTTAGAAGCGTTGGCCAGGGCGGACCGTTTCTTCTTCTTACCGCCCTTGCCCTTCGTTCCAAGTAAAGACTGCTCGAGAGCACCCTTTGCATCAGAACCCTTGCCTGCAGTCGTACGTGGGGCCTGTTTAGTGCCGTTTGTACGCTTCGCGAGGGGTCCGCTGAGTGCTGCTGCTGCCTGCTTCGCTGCCTCTGCCGCCTGCGCCGCCTGGCGCGCGAGCTCGGCCTGAAAACGGCCATGGAGCTCAGCGATCTCCTCGTTTGTTGCAACCAGGCGCTCCGAAGCTTCGCAATGCGTGATGTTCGGTCAGAGTGTCAGTGAGAATGCGATCCGTCACTCACTGGCACTGTGGACGACAAACGTGAAGTCGGAAGACGGCACCTCGTTCTCTTTACTTTCCCCTTCGCCTTCTCCAGGCGGGTGCGATTGCATGTAGGCTTTCAAAGCCCGCGCGAAGCGCGACGTGCGCCGCCGGGAGAGGTGAACCCGAGTATGCGGCTGCACGAAGATATGGTGCGCCGACAAAGCCTGGTCGAGCGCGAGCGTGTCCCCATGAGCGAGCGTCCCGAGCACTGTAGCGAGCTGCCGCTTCCGGCTCCTCAGCATCGCCTTGTGCTGCAGGCCCGCAAGCGTCGCGCGCGATAGCCGCCCCTTCTTCCCCGCCAGCGCGAGGGAGCCGTGTGCGCCCCCTCCCCCGCCTCCGCCTCCGCCCGTCCCTGCGCCTACCACGCCGCCCACAACGGCGTCCACGTCCCGCTCCCGCCCCGTCGGCATGGCCCTATCCGCGCCCTCGTCCTCCGCCCCGGACCCGCCAGAGCCCCCATCGTGCCCGTGCGCGGACCCGGACATGTTCGCGGGCACCTTCCGCTTCTTCGTGTTCCCCGGCTGCTGCAAGTGGTCCACATAATCCCCGCCGTCCCCGTCCTCGTCGTCCTGCTCGTACCCACCGCCCAAACCGCCTAGTCCCCCGACGACGCTCCCATACCACCCGGCCCCGGTCCCGAAGCCGGCCGCGAGCGCCGCGCTGAGATCGATAGAGATGGGCGTGGACGTCCGCGAGGCGTCGTCCTCCCCGGCCCTGCCCCGGTCTGGGGTGGGCATGTTCTTGAAGAGGTCGCGGACGCCGCCCAGGACGGGCCCATAGTACGCCTGGAGCGCCATTTGCGCCGCGAACGTCGGGTCGGGTGTCGCCGGGACATTGTCGTCCGCCCCGTCATGCGACTCCTGCGGGGTGTTCACCCCCGTCCCCATCCCTGGGGCCGGGGAGCTGGTACGGAACTCGTGGTCGTCATGCGAGGTGGGGTCCGAGGTGCGTCTGCGCTTCGGGAGCGGCTTCACGCGGCGGAGCGTCGCTGGGAGCTCAGGAACGTCGAAGATCGGGGACGGCGGTGGATACATGGCCTGTTGAGGCTGCAATGCGAGTCCGCAGAGGAGGCATGAGCGGGCACTGGGGGTGGATTCCTGAAATCGGAATAGCTTACGTGGATTTCGGTGGTTACCTGTCCTTTCTTTCGAGATCAAGTTCTCGCTGTCAGCGGCTGGTGGTGTAGTGTGCTTCCGGCAGTGTCTAGCCTAGACTAGGCTAAAGAAGAATGTAAGAGAGTATATTCAGTAAAGCGCAAGGTAGTGTGTGCGCGCTGTGCCACGCAGACCGAATGCGAATGCTAGATGGGAGGAAGAAAGGCTTTGTCGGCCGAGAAATGATCACTCCGCTCCGGCTCAGCCACCGACCTCCGGCTCTCCCTTTCTTCGACTTACCTACTGCATCGTTTCCTAACTTGCCCTTGCATCGACAGATGGACGCAATTGACTGCATCAATGATTTACAAGTGCCTCTGTGGAGTCGGCTCAGAAACACACGGCTACCACGTACAGAAGCCTACCCCATTGCTACAAGCTCCGCAGATCGCTCAAGGAAGATGTCTGCTTTTGCGTTCATAAACCCATGTATTCACAACGACCAGTGTATGCCTCGATATAGAAGATGCTAGACTACGGTACAAGATGTGCGATGCTCTAACAGATTGTCTCGTGATGCTAGGATATAGTAAATGTCCGACTGCGTGTCGCAATAAATCAGGGTATCGCGAAACGAAGGTAGACATTAGGTTCTCTGCTCATGCTGGTGTAACAGGCCCCGAAACATCTATGGGGATGAGATGTGTAATGGTGCAATAATGATATGGCGGGCGGCGCCTGGGAGTATTGAAACAGACCAAATTAGTAGGGCCGTACGATAGTCGATGAGCAGATGAGTTGCAACGAGACTGGTGAGAGCGTGAATAGGTGTGAGAGCAGCGCATGTCATGGATCAGAACTGGGATCAGGAGTGGAGTACTGATAGTTTGAGCGGGTCGACGGAAGGGAATCGAGGCGGAGTCGTTGCATGGGTGAGGGAAAGTATGGGCATATGTCGGAAGTTGAGACGAGGACGAGATCATAAAATGAAGAAGAGGACGGTCTTCGTGTCCGCAAGTGGCCTTGGGGCAGCCGCCGGCTGAGATGGCGTCTACCACCAGCTGCCGCCTCCACCACCTCCGCCGTAGCCTCCGCCACCATATTGCGGACCACCGAAGCTTCCGCCGCCGCCATAGCCTCCACCGCGATTACCGCCATAGCCACCTCCGCCGCCCTGGCGAGCATCGCGGTTGGCCCCTCCACGGCCACGGCCACCACCACGACCACCACGGCCACGGAAAGAGCCGCCGAAGGAGTTCTCTTGAGCGACAGTGTCAAGCCAGCCAGGAATCTCCTGATTAGCCTCACGAAGTAGCTCAAGCAGGTCACGAACAATATTGCGGTTGCCTCGGTTGAAGAATGCTGTGGCGACACCGACGTTACCAGCACGGCCGGTACGACCGATACGGTGAACATAGTCGTCGATATCAGATGGCAAGTCGTAGTTGATGACGTGCGTGACGTTGGGGATATCGAGACCACGAGCGGCGACGGCAGTAGCCACTAGAATGGGCGTGCGACCGGTCCGGAACGTCTGGAGGGCCGTCTCGCGCTCGCGCTGCGTACGATCACCATGGATGGAGGTCGCGGGAAGGTTGTTCCCCAGAAGGAAGTCGGAAAGCATGTCGGCCATGCGCTTAGTCTCCACGAACACAAGGGTGAGACCCGTGCCATGGGCCTGGAGGACGTCCAAAAGAACTGAGCGCTTGTCATTGTCTTCGACGTACTCGATCCTCTGAGTGATGTTCTCCGAGGTCGAACCAACACGACCGACAGAGAGGAAGACGTAGTCCTTCATGAAGTCGCGCGCGAGCATCTGGATGTCCCGAGGGAATGTCGCGGAGAACATGAGCGTCTGACGCTCGTGGACCCCCGGCATGTCTTCGCCCTGAACAATCCTGCGAATTTGCGGCTCGAAACCCATGTCGAGCATACGATCGGCCTCATCGAGGACAAGGTAGCGGATGTTGGCAAGGCTGATGCGCCCGCGTTCGATCAGATCCACGAGACGACCGGGGGTCGCACTCAACAGATCGCATCCCCGCTCGATCTGCCGCAGCTGCTGATTGATATCGGCACCACCGTACACAACGGCAGGGCGGACCCACGAGCGGTAGCAGAACTTGCGGGCCTCTTCGTGGATCTGGCTGACCAACTCGCGCGTGGGAGCGAGGATGAGCGCCGTGGGATATGCCTTGCGGCTGCGGCCATAGCCAACAGGAGGAGTTTGTTCGGCAGGAGCAGAGCGAGGGCCATTGGTGAAGGATGCGGAAAGGATAGGGAACAGGAATCCACCTGTTTTTCCAGAACCCGTCTGAATGACATATCAATCTCTGAGTCGTCTAATCAAAACGAGGACGAAGAAACTCACCTGAGCACATGCCATCAAGTCTCTGCCTGCAGCAACGATAGGGATCGAATACTTTTGTACGGGAGTGGGAGTGGTGTAGCGAGCGTAACCAATGTTCTCGAGGAGGACCGGATCCAAAGGGGGGTTTGTAAATGCGTTCACAGGGTCCGGCACACCAGCACCAGTGGCCTCCACAGGGATGTCATCGTACTTCTCGAAGTTGATCCCCGTATGTTGCTTCGACGGGTCATTCTCTTCGCCGAAAAGTTCTTTCTCCATCCGCATGTTGCGACCGCCGGGAACGTGCTTGCCGTCCCTCCATGCGCCGTAGCCGAAGGACTCGCGAGGACCATCGCCGCCACGAGGGGCTCCGCCATTGCCTTGCCATCCGTTCGACTGGGGGCGGTCACCTCCCCAACGGTCACCTCCGGGGCCACCACCGCGGCCACCATAAGTGGAGAAGCTTCTGCCCGCACCACCTAAACCACCACCATCCCTAGGTTCACTCTTGAAGCCCCCGCGGAGGGAAGGAGTGGAAGAGCGGGAGTCGTTCCAGCCGTTCCTGCGGACGGCCTGTTAGCATGATGGGGACACGTAGCAATCAGCGACGGAAACGTACCCATTGCTCACAGGAACCACGGGGCTAGAGGCAGCCCGCTGCGTACTCCTCATGTGAGGAGGGACATAAGCTGATTTTGTACCATTGATACCGAGAGAGGCTGGAGAATAAAGATTGCTCGCTGGTGAGTACTCCTTGGCAACGAATGGTACGATGAGGATCAACTCACCAAACTGGTTCTCCAATCCGGTACCGTTTACAGTTCCATTGGACATATTAAAGTGATGAGAGTGAAGAGAAAGGATAGAAAGACGAGGCTATGGAAAGTTGTTGAGATTTTGTCTATAGAGCGTTGCGGTAACGAGTCGAGACAGTGATGGTCCACCACAAAGGCGAGTGAGAATTTTGAGCCCACGCCCCGCCCCGCTTACAAACAATCTCCACCTTATGTAAGCAACTGCCGCAGTTGGTCACCCCCTCGGCGCCTAGGTTTCGCGACGTGGCAGGCGCAGCGGGCCGCGCGCGCCGGTAGACATTGCCAGCTCTTGCAGGCGCTTGCCAACTTACAGGCAATAGCGTATACAGCTTCCTCTGCTTACACCTCCTTGTTCTGCCCTCCTCACTTAACTTCTGCAATGTCGCACGGACACTCGCACGGCCCTGGCCAGCCCACGCACACCCATGGTCCCCCGGCCCCGACGGCGCAACAGCAACAGCAGCAACAGATGGTCATGCGTCCCCCAGACCCGCTCATGCAAGCTCTCATCGAGGAGAGCTTCCGCCCAGTCCAAATTGCCCTTGGTCCACCAGAGAACGCCACCGCGCTGTGCGGGCTGCACAAGCAGGAGAAGTGCGACCAGTGCAACGTCGACTACCGCCCCCTCAACCGCCTCTCGCGCATACTTGTTGCAAACCCCAACCTCCGCTGTCCACCGCCTCCCAACGTCGTGTCCCAGAACCTCTCCCAAGCTGTAAACAACACCAAGGATGAAGGAAACGTGCGTTTGCTGTCCTCGTTCACGCACGCCCCATGTTAAAGCGTCATAATGGGTTCGCAGGCTCTGTTCAAGAATGGGTTGCACGTACAAGCCCTCCAGCGGTATACCATGGCCGCGAGCATCGCCGTCCAGCGGCCGCCCTGGGAAGCCCAGCAGCTCATGCGCGAAGAGCTCTCCATGATCCTTTCCAACCGCTCCGCAGCTTTCTACGAGGCCGGAGACTTCCTCAGCGCGCTGGTCGACGCCGAGACCGTCATTCAGCTTAAGCGGCCCTGGAGCAAAGGCCACTTCCGCAAGGCCCGCGCACTTATGAAGCTCAACCGCTACCATGAGGCCAAGGAAGCCATCCAGCTTGGGCTCTCATTTGAGCCAACTAATCAGGTGCGTAGCTTACCTAGTTTGCTGCACTGGCGTCCATGTCACACAGCCAGTGGCTGACGGCTCGTGCTGCTTTGTAGGAAATGCTGCAGATGTTGGCGGACGTTGAGTCCCATATAAATACTACGTCGACTACGAGCCTTGAAAAGCCCCCGCAGTCTATACCCGTATCCTAATGTATTATCTCTAGTATGATATGGTATGGTATGTGTACAGTGTGTATATCCTCATGAGCCTGATACATCCGCATGGACCTTGGGAGCCAAAATGGCCTGGTAAATATTGTACAAGGGCTTCCGTGACAAGTCGCGAATGCTAGAGGGTGGGTCAACGTCCGCGGACTTGCAGTTTTTCCAAGACCTCGTCGACCTCCACACATTCCTCCGGTTCTCGGAATACGCGCAAAGGAATCTGAGGCGGAACGTCCAACCGCGCCTTCCACAGCCGCATCTGTAAATCTGCCATCTTCCCCATGTCTGGTAGTGGGGTCGACAGCTGCGCTTGGGAGTAAAACCCGCTCTCCCTTCGTTCCGCCTGCGAGCCCGGCGGTGGCTTGCTGAAACCCGACGGTGGCCACGACCTGGCGTTCATTTCCATGGGAGGGCTCTCGTGCGGCTCCTCCGTGATGGGCGAGTGAGAGCGTGCCGCGGAGCTGAAGTAGTCAGTCGGCGACGTCGAAGAACCGCTCGAGTTCGATGATGAGCGCGAGGCCACGTCCGCACCCGAATATGAGCGCGCCACTTTCCTGGGCGCGGCAGGCGGTGGGGGTTGCGGAACCGCGTCGGACTGCGACATCGACCGCAACGGCAGCTTCGAGTTCGCGCGCCTCATCGCCTGTGAAAAGCGGCCACTCGTCTGTGTGGGCGCAGAGCCAGGTGTCGTGAGGCCGGCGTCCATCGACCAACGAAACGCTTCTACACCAGTTGGGTCGTCGAGCGGGTGGACCGAGTCGTCGCCTCGCGCGCGTGCGTCGCGGATAAAGATGGCGAGGATCTGTTCCGGGCGCTCGCGCGCGAACTCCGCGTAGAGCTCTAGGTCCTGCTCCCCGGAGTCGCCCACTAGGAAAAAGCGTGCATCGGGGAAGTGATTCAGGACGTCGACCACGGCGGCGCGTTTCCGCATCGCTGGTGCAGACAGCAGTCCGTTGAACAGTGAGCGGCCGCCATATGATCTGAGCCGAACGGAACCCGGGGGAAGATGGGAAAGCTGCAGGAATTCGTTGACGACGGGAAGCAACTCGAAAGGGCTGTTGCTCTGGCGAAAGGTTTAGTGAGTGATGAAACAGTGTCCAGGTGACGAAGTACTGACGACGTAGTGGAATCGGACGCCCCGCTTCCACATGCCAGTGTACCACTCTCCCATGCCCCGAATGACGCTGTCGCGGAGATCCTTCACGAAAACATTGTGGAACACTGTACGGGCTCCACTGAGGATCCCGGATAGTTTGACAGTATCGTCAATGTCCGAAATCACTCGAATGGAAGAGTAGGTGAGAGGAACTGGTATCGATGCTGCGACTGTGACCGGGGAGAATATTGAAGGTAGTTCTCGAAATTGCTGGTGTTGACCCGTGGGTGTGGCGGGGCCCGGGGAAGGAGGCGCGAGTAGCTCAGCCACGACAAATAAGTCTTGTTCAAGCTCGGAGCCACCGAAGGCAACGTGCAGCGCGCCAGGATGTACGCACATACGCTCCCATGGAACTGAGAGCTTTAGCTGGAACGAGCCGTCCACCGCTGTGATCACATTGCGCGTCACGATGGGTTCCCTCTCCGGAGCGACCGAGCTGTGTGACGAAGACGACTGCTGGTCGTCTGAGTTGTATAGCGACGGATCCGCAGCATACAGAGAGATGCGAACAACACGGTTTGGCAGCACTGAGGACCAGAAGGGGTGGAGGCGAGCTTCTAGGTTTGCATGCCATCGATGCAACTCAGTGGAGGTGCCTGGGATGATAGGAGGGGGTGCTAGCGTTTCGCCTTGGACAAAGGCGTTACTGTTGGAGGACGAGGCGGCGGAGGACGAGGGCGTGCGCGAGTCGTTAGATTGGGCGGATTTCATGGATAGAGTGTCGGCAGTGCGACCGGAATCTATGCTACGCGTCTCAACATCTAGTCTGTGGAGCTGGTCGTCCAAGGCTTGCATCTCGGTCTCTTCCGTGATTTCGTCAGGAAGAGGAGGCAAACGTGTGCCTCCCAAGAGATCTTCCGTAGACTTGCTTTGGCCTGCGTTAGGGAGTTTCGGTAGGGCAGCAAAACCTGTAAGGGATGGCGTCAGCGGCGGCACTCCACTTTGTGCACACACTCACTCTTAGCTAGTCGCAAGAAAGTCCTGCCCGCGCGAGTCGTGAACCCGATGCCCGTGAGCTTACATGCGTAACCGGAAACGAAGACATCGACGTCGAAGGGCGCGTCTACGCGGCTGTCAGTATTGGACTTCCAACAAAACGGGGAAGACCAGATGTCTTCCACGGGGACTTCCAAAGGAAGGTTCCTCTAATTACAGTGCAAAGTATGATATGAGTTGCACTCACCATCACTGTTCTCTTGTGGACGTTCGCTATATCGTCTCGCGGCCCATCCAGGAAATAATGTTAAGCGGTCGCCACTAGTGTCGTACTCTCCTTGGCCCGCGCGCCGTAGCTTCTGACCGGCCCATTGGCTCCAGGATTGTTTCTTGGTCGCCTCCGCACCTGAGCTGCGCGATAGTGAATATCCTTGCTTGAGGTCGCGTTGTTGCGCGATGTAACCTTTGAGGGAGCGTGAGGCGGCGGATGCAAGGGACCGCCAGGATGGAGCCATCTCTTCAGACTGCGACATGTCGGGTCAAAACCATGGATGGTTGGTGAGGAAAGGAGGGACTAGCGATACAGAAGTGAATGAGGATGTTCAGATAGCGATACAAATATTAGCAGCAAGTGCGGAGGGTAGCATGACAGAAGAGGGAGGAACAAGGTACCATCTGCGCTGACAGGCCGGGAATGACCCGCATATACTTAGCCGCCCACCGGGTTCTCCTACGCTCACCGCCAAAGTCTAATGCGCGCCCGTTGCTTCTGAACAATCAGCGTCGGATTGGCATCACCTCTACGCTGCGAACCGAAACGACACCCAGATCATCTCGACCAATGCCGGCATTCGTCGTCAATCTCAAAGGATGACTCACTTGGTGAACTTGTGAGGTTGCAGTAACCCAGTATCGCGTTCCTGAAGTTACTGAACCAGCGATCTGGAAGAGCGAGACATCTCTGTACACGCTTGAAACACGCAGTCTCCCGAATATCTGTATATGTGCAGTCTGCTGACACCGGTTTGTGGTCGGCGCTGTAGATATCTGGACATATCGAAGAGCGTTTAGACGCGTCACGGGTCCACAGGGACCTTGGAGGCGAACGTCAGTCGAACATTCTAAGACTGCTGAAACGCTCTAGAACCAGTGCAGTCAGCATAGTCCCCCGGTCGATAGCTGTCTCCTTGGATCCAAATCACCATGATCGTGTACGAGTGGTGGACGAGATCAGGACATCAGAAGAGGCATGCGAGGCGCTGTACCTCATTGTGGTTATGGACATTCGCACGTTCGTCTTCACACATCTGATATGCAAGTTATAACGGTGATAGTTTCCCCTAAATATCACCCCACGCTTCCATTCACAGGTACTTCCGGAGCCATTCCACGGAAGCCTTGAAAGCACCCTCCTTGCCCGCCTTGACCTCCGGCTTGCTCTGCAGCAGAAGTTGAGTCAAAGTCCGGCTTGGTATGCCCAAGGTACACGTACCAGGTCACCACGGACCGTGAATCCGTGGACGCAACCGGGCCAATACGTGCGCTGGTAGCCAGGGGCGAACTTGCCCTTGCCAAAGATCTCGTCTGCGACCTGCTGCAACTCGGGGCCGAATTGCCGGTCGACTTCGCAGGAGTTAATGAGAAGCGGGGCCTTCGCGACCTCGAAGTACTTCTGGAGGTCCGGAGTTTTGAGGAGGGAAGGGTGAGAGACCGCCACGGCATGGAAGTCGCCCGTGAATGCGAAATCGAAGCTGAGACGACCGCCGTAGCAGTAACCGAGGGTGCCGAACCTGGTGACACCCTCGGTCTTGAGGACGTCGATCACCGAACGGACAATAACTTTGGCCCTCTCGACAGGATGGCGGTCAAGCCACCCCCAGAAATCGAATGTCGAATCGGGGACGAAGGCATCCAGAGGGGCGGGCTCATCGTCGAAGAGATCGGGAATGACGACCTTGAAGCCGTTGCGCGCGAAGTCGTCCGCCAGGAGCTGTTAGGTCATCAGTGTCGTGAGCCAGGTCGTTGCCATCTCAGATGGGGAGATGTTGCTGACCAGGTTATTCTCGAACTTGAGACCGAAGGCATCACTAAGGTACAAGACGACCTCATCCTTCGGGTAGTCTCCGGCGGGAGTGGCAACATAGCACTCAATGCCACCAATCGTCTGGGTGGTACCTGAGCATGGATGTCAGAGTGAGCGACGGCATTCACAGGTAAACCACTAGCGCATGCCAGCCACTGACCCTCCGGAGTACCCTCGTGGCGGACACCTGTGTATCGACCGATGGTCCCAATCAATCGATGGTTAAGTCGTCACGGTATGTGTCTCGGAGAGCTCACCCTTGAAGCATTCGGCGCAAAGAGACATGGCGAAGTTTAATCAGGCGTTGAGGTGCTTGCAGAGTGCAGTAGTGGGTCTGTGTGTTATGACTGCCATTTCTTGGAGTTGTAGGGGGTATATATACAACCATGCCATGAGCGTTGGTCGAGAATGTTTATCGGGAACGTCCATATCATCGGATCATCTCACCCAATAGGAGGCATAGCTGTACATGTACGAAAGGCAAGAATATGTGCCTACAGGTGCTGATCATAGTTACCGGGGTGGACAACACTGAGGTAGGCACCAGAATCACCGTGACGCGGCGGAATGAGTTCCGATACGCGGCTGCTTCGAGGGCATTTCTGCGTTTACGGGATGCAAAAATGTCACGTCGGCCGATCAGAGACCTCAGCAGCAAGAACCTGAGTAATCTGGAAGCTTGGCTGGATCTAGGAGGAGGAGTGGGGCTCACGGACAGCTGATGGCTAGCCCTGCGAGCGGTGTACGCAGCAAGCAGATTTGACTCGAAATCACCCAAGCAAGCACGGGGTGCTATATCACCGTGTTCGCGGCAAGGCAATCGCCAACTGGCATTTGCCAATTCTGCCCGCCGGCCTACCCTGGCGGCAGATATCAGCACCGCTAAGAGTTGGCTGGATCTCGTATCCGCCCGAATGTCGTATCATCGTATCTCGAGTCACGTCCCCAGCGCGCGCGCACCTGCATGTCTGCAGAGCTGGGATTATAGTTTTGCAGCTGTCGTTCTCCTTGAGCCTACATAGCTATGAAGACACCGTCAACAAAATTGAGATTTCAGCGCTTGATCAAGTATCCTCGCGGGCGGCCACGAGATTTTGTCAGCCAACTCTGAGCGGTACTATTCGCAGAAATTATAGGCGCCTATACCAGAAATCAGCGTAGGGAGGGATGTTCAGAGACCTGTGGTACATATGCATCCATACAGTGTATAGATATATTGTGGGAGTATGTAATGCGTGCCAGAAAACGTCGCCCTGTGGGCTACGGACGATTCTACTGCTTAGTCTCGCGCAGTTCTTAGGTGAGGGACTCTATCGGGCGCTCAAATCAATGAAAATTGGCCTACACTGCTCTTCACTCACTATAGCTCTTCAAGGACCCGGGTATCCCTTACCAGGGCATCCAATGAGTTGTTTGAGCTGCAGTTAAGTACCCCTGGAAACATCCCGGGGGCCGGGTGTATGTCAAGAGTCTCTGTGAATGGGCGCTTACACATTTGCCCTTTTCTGCTGACCCTCTCTGCTATTTCTGCCGGTAACATAGCCCAAAACAACTCTGCCATATACAGTACACTGATCATGTCCGAATCTGGCAAGAGCTCTTCAAACGTCAATATTTCAATATTGAGCGTCGCCAACAGCACGCCGCGACTCAACTACTACAGCCCGGATGCTTGACTCTACACGCGTGAAAAGCGGGGATACGTAACAAAATCTGGCCAGGTACGCGTGCACACTTATGTCAACGGGAGCTCATGGGAGCGCGCGTGTGCTAATATATGCGTGAGTTCACTTGTCCCGGGCACACACGCTCGCTGGCTTGAGCTCAAAGCAATAATGCGATTCATGTCTAGATACCGTATGCATTCATGTGACAAGGAGCGATAAATTCTATTACGCAGTTGTTTTCAGGTCACATAGCTCCGACAAGATGCATCCGCGAGCGAAGACACTGGTAAGTGCATTCAAGCCCCCAAGTCAGTCACTCACGCTGGCTCCGGATCACCCAGGCGAAACACCAGCTTTCCGTGCCAGACAATCTACTACCCGCTAGCGATGCTGTATTTGAGTGGTGCAGGCAACTACCACCCCGAATTTTGTGGCCCCAGCTGATTTCCAGGTCGAATGTCGTCTCCATCGACTCGAGTCGATAAAACCGTGTATGCGGGGTGTATGAAGTCAGGAGATGAGAAGAGGTATGCGAGGCGCCATTTGTGATTATGGACATTCGCACCGTGACGTTTGTCCCTAGACATCTATCGTGCAAGCTACAACGGTGATACTTCCCTACGGTACAGCTATCGCTATAGCACGCTTCCATTTACAGGTACTTCCGGAGCCATTCCACGGAAGCCTTGAAAGCACCCTCCTTGCCCGCCTTGACCTCCGGCTTGCTCTGCAGCAGAAGGTGAGACGAAGTTCGGCTTGGTAAGCTCAAGGTATAGTATACATACCAGGTCACCACGGACCGCGAACCCGTGGACGCAACCAGGCCAATACGTGCGCTGGTAGCCAGGGGCGAACTTTCCCTCGCCAAAGACCTCGTCCGCAACCTTCTGGGACTCAATGGGAAATTGCTGGTCGACTTCGCAGGAGTTTATGAGAAGCGGTGCCTTCGCGACCTCGAAATACTTCTTGAGATCGTCGGGGGCTTTGAGTTGGGAGGGGTGGAAGACCGCCACGACGTCAACGTCGCCCGTGAAGGCGAGATTGAAGCAGAGACGACCGCCGAAGCAGTAACCGAGGGAGCCGAACTTGGTGACGCCCTCAGCCTTGAGGGCGTCGATGACCGAGCGGACGATGGAGGTGGCCTTCGCCGCTGGATGGCGGGCAATCCACGCAGCCGTGTCGAAGTTCGAACCGGGGCTGAAGGCATCCACGGGGGCGGGATCACCCTCTAAGACGTCGGGTGCGATGACCTTGAATCCGTTGCGCGCGAAGTCATCGACCAAGAGCTGTTAGGTCAGTCGCATGAGTCAGAATATTGCCATCTCAGATAGTAAAAGTGTATTCACTAGGTTGTTTTCGAGCGCCAGACCGAATGCATCAGTAAGATATAGCACGACCTTATCCTTCGGGTAGTCTCCGGCCGGAATGGCAACAGAACACTCAATGCCGCCAATCGTCTGGGTGGTACCTGAAATGGATGTCGTAGTGAGCAACGGCATTCTAGGCGGATCACAAACGCAGGCCAGCGACTTACCCTGGGGGTACCCTCGTGGCGGACACCTGTGTATCGACCGAAGGTCAGACTCGACCAATGATTGAACAGTATTTAGGTCGGAGAGCTCACCCTTGAAGCAGTCGGCGCAATAAGACATTGTGAGGTTGATCAAGCGTCGAGGTGCTTGCAGAGTGCAGTGGTGGGTCTGTGTGTTGACTGACTGCTGGGACTGTAGGGGGTTTATATACCGCGAATGATACCCTGTGACAGGAGCGCTAGTCGAGAATGTTTTCGAGAGGGGCTCCATGATCGGATCACCCCACCCAACAGAACGCGCATCTGTGCATATACACATTCAGCAAGACCTCAGGAGAAGAGCCTACTATGCTGACTATAGGCACAGGCCCACGAAAACCCCGAACTACAACCAATACCTTGAGAATTTTGTGCTATACTGGATGCAAAACATGCAGTTCTGGAGACGTGTAGAGCACCGATCTGAGACTTCAACAGCAAGAATCTGAGTAACGACAACAGATTCGAGCTACCTTGAGCAAGCACTAGGTGCTATCGCCGGGACAGAAGACGGGCGCTTCCGATCATCCTACTACGATGTTGACAGCGCGATCGTATCTGAGTCAAGACTCGAATCAGGCTGAGTCAGATGCCGCGGCGACCAGTATTACCGATACAGGCGAGATGGCCGTAAATCAGGAATAACGCCAACGTGTGTTGGCATCTGTTCCTAGCAGAATGGACCCGAGGAAAGTACTGTGCTTATGTATATACATACTAGGACAATAGGATACACAACATTCCGAACAGCGTGGGCTCGCCAGCGGTCTACCAACCCTTTCGAGTACCATATGTTGCGACTGACGCTTGAACTGTACAGGATCAAGAGCTGCAGGATGTCTTAGAACCACACACAGTCAGCACGAGTAGGTGTATATGCGCCGACCCACGGATTCTCACCTGTACCGAACACCCTCACAAACGGCGAGGAGTTTGACGCTCTTTGCAGCAATCGAGAAGCTTGTGCTTCAGCACCTCGTCGATCGTCAACCACTTACAATAGATACCGCCGCGCATCTCTGGAAGACGCTTACGGTGGAAGGCGAGGTGGTATTCTAAGACAGCCTGCCACTCGTACTCCCGCTGAAGCCATACGAGGTTGGTGACGTATGCTGCCAAGCACTCCGCAAGGTCCCGCAGGGTTTCCAGATCGCGGCACTGGCCATTGAGCACCTTGAAATACTTGGACAGCGGGTCGACGATGGAGAAGAGGTCGGGATAGGCTTCCTCCATGGGGACTTCGTCCGAGCTGTAGACACTCGCGTCGCTCGGTGGCGCGTGGCGCTCCGTACGCGGCCGCCTGGCAGTGTCGTTTGCGAGCTTGTAGAGATGTTTCGGCTCGAAGGAGTGGTTCCGAATTTGGACGAACAGAATCCCGTCGATGGTCTCGTTGCCGATCCTGACATGTCCGGGAGGTGGAGGCGAACAGACACGCGAGCGGGGACCACGGGACATATGGCGCCCTCGCTCTCCATCTTCTCCGTCATCTTCGTCGACCCCGACTGTGGCCGCCGTCGACTTGACATCCGAGAAGTCGTCTTCTTCGTAGTCCTCCCTTACGGCCTCGGTGATCGTCGAGAGAGGCGGCAGGTAGACGGTGGTTGGAGTTGCAGGCTCCTCCGAGGTCTCGAAGAGGCTTCGGATCCCCAGCTGCTCAATGCATACCGAAAGATCAGTAGAGGTTGGGCTAAGGCTACCCTGCGCACTCATCGTAGGCGACGCAGTGAGGGGAGGGATGTTCGACGTACAACGAAAGAGTGGTCGAGCGGCGAGGTATATAGCGTGGAAGTGTGAATAGGGGTAAAGCGTCCAGTGAGAGCAAAGCGTCGCACCCTACCGCACTCTGGCTCGCATCGCTTCCCGGTACGGCGCATTATCCACTACTGACACAAGCAAAAGCGTGTCGTACGAAAGAGGTAAAACCATCCGCCTTCTCGCATTCCAGTCGCTGCTTGTACATAGTGTTGCCGATCACAGGTTCCGTAAGAAGATATTCAGCATTCCGGCAGGACCAGACGAAAAGCTCACTTACCTCCTCACATTGGTTGATGATATAGACGGGCGAGCACATGTCAAGCGACGCAAGTAGCACCTCAAGCTCTATAAGGTGCGATGATCCACAGACGTCCGCTGCGAATTGGAGAGTTGCAAAGCTGCTATCGAATCTTTCCCCAATATAGTTTTGAGGTTGTGACTGGAGAGGCATGTCGTCAAAGATGGCGTAAAGATGTCTACATATAGTGTCCGATCTGTGGCATTGCACCAGCTTCATGCATGTACGATGGCCAATTGCGGTGGATCGTACTCGGCGGATGCCTTGAAGGATACGGCTATCGGCCCGGCGTTCTTTCCGACATTGTCGGAAGTGATCTTCTCTGGAGCGTACGCGAACGGCTGCAGTGCCCACGAATTCGTAGATAGTAATGAAAGCAAGACAGAACATCAATGATACATCTATATGACCATGAACATCAGCTGAGATGAGATGGGCGAGAGGTAAAGGGGGACACACAGTGTACAACACACATACGAGACCTCACGCCTTCCCGGCAAGACTCCCAGCGGCCGCCCTGCGCCTTTTGTTCCCCCGTCGGATCTCCCCAAGGTCCGCCTCGCACTCGGGTTCCTTGAGGACGGAAAGCGCCCCCAAGGCTTTCCCAAGCGTACCCGGGGCGTGGGCTTCGCGCCCGCCACCCTTTGCCCTCCGCCTCCCGTTCCCAGCCCCACCCGCGCCCGTGCCGTACCCGTAGCTCTGCGAACCGCTCACCTGTCCGGATATCAGCGGGAGTGGGAACAAGGAGGGCAGCTCGTCGACCGAGAGCGAATGGGGGTTCAGCAACGGGCCGGTCGTGACGGGCCCTGTGGCGGCGCCCGCGCCCGCGCCGATTCCCAGCCCAGGGTGTCCGCCGGGGATGGGCGTCGGTGGTGGGGAGGTGCCACCTCCCATCTTGTTTCGCAGCTTGCGCGTGATGTGCGGGCGCGACTGCGAGTCGACGCCGCCGTCTGGGAGAAAGTAACCGTAGTGGGCCACGCGCCAAACGCCATGCACATATAGGTGAGCGCCCATATCCTGGTGCAGACGGAAAACCGTGTCGAGGGAAAGGGGCACTACTCACCGGCGACCGTGCCCTCGCCGTCTTTTTCCTCGCGCGCGCGACGCCGGCGATCTTCGATGCCCTCGAGCATGCGTTCGCGGATGCGGTCGCGTCCGCGTTTCCATTCCTCCTCGACGCGCTCGCGCTCTTCGTCGTATGCGGTTTGGACGACCGAGAGGGCATGTCGCTCCTGGAGCTCAATGGAGGAGAGGAGCGCGCCGCGCTCCAAGGAGATGGGGTACAGACGGAGCTGGTATTGCGGAGAGGTCTCAGGACGCGTAGCGAGCTGGATGGAGAGACTGTGTAGGTCTGATATGGTCTCCGCGTAATGGCGGCCGATACTGGAGTGGACGGGGCGGATGGCGGGTAAGGGAACGCGTTACGTTAAGCGTAGTGTTAGACGGGACGTACTCTTCTCTCCGCTCAGCCATCTCCTTGGTGATCTTGCCCACTACCTCCTTCCTCCTCTTGTCTTTCTTAGGATCCTCTCCCGGAGCACCTGCGGGTGATGCGTGTTCGATGCTCGCCTTTTCCACTCTTACAGACGCGAGAACGACTACAACGCACCGTGCGGTCTGGAGCTAGGGCCCGCAATCTGTTCGTAGTGGAGTGTGTTGGCCGAGGCCACTTCAACGGCCTGTCCTGAGCGGACTTTGTGAGTTGAGCTATGGGATACGGCGAAGACTCCTGGTTGTGGAGGCATTTGGCCTTGTGCTCGGGGCAGCGGAGAGGGGTACGTTGCGATATGAGTGCGTGGGGAAGGAGGCAAGGGTGTCGAGAAGCGGCGGTCTGGCAGATACAATGGAGGAAGAGGTCACTGGACAGAGGGCGGTGGCCAGTGCCCACTGGCAAGCGGTGAGCCGGGCCACCGTCGCAGGCTCGCTGGGCGCCAACTGGTCGAACGCTCTTGTCCCGCGCTGCCATGCACTCCGCCCGTTTCGGACTCGGAGGCATTCCAAGGCCTAGGTCCAACCCGGCTTGTTCTACCTCTTTCAAGGGTCTCAGGACATGTTTCAGGCAATGACTTCGGCTCCAGCATCAGCCTGGTGCCCTAATGAGGCGGGAGCGAGCTCGAGCAGTACTGCTTGAGGCACGTACGCACGTGCCAGCCACAGACGTAGCGGCTTGACGCGTCGCGACGCGTCTCGCCACAACCGCGTTCCACTCCACTGAAACACATTCATTCGGCCTAACGACTCATGGACTCCGTACATTTCTGACAACTCCTTCCTTGTTACTAGTATGCTATTTCTCAAAATGTCATTGCGCTCGTTTCTTCAGTTTGCCTTGAACGTCGGGAACTCGCTAATGCGAAGCTTGGTCGACTGTGAGCGCAGAAGCGAGACCGTCAATAACTTCTGCCTCCCATGACAGCATTGTGTCTCGCGAAGTACTCACCCCGAAAGGCCAGAGCGTGATGTTCTTCACAGCGCCGGTGCACGTTGGGTTCGTCGGCGGTGCAGCCGCAAACGTATCACCCGCAACCTCCCAGTCAATCGGGCACGCCGTGGCCGTGATCGTGAAGGGGGGAAGCCCCGAGTCGAAGACCGGGGACGGGAGCTTACCTCCGGACGGCGTGCTGCCGTGGAAGACGAGCGTCGAGGGGTCGATCGCATACTGCCACGTCTCCGTGGTGTCAAACTCGAGATCGACCGCCAAGGGCTGCTGGGCGTTCTGCGCGAGCACCTTCTGGCTGCGGGAGATGTCGAACGCGTAATGCAGCGGCAGTTTCGCCGTTCATGTGTGTTCTGCTAGAGTCGTATGCAGAACGTCAAACAATTAGGACCATGGCACTACATAGGCCCTCACGATGGGGTGCCTACTACCCATACGTTCTGCACTCCTTTGTCAAGTCGTACCGCTCGCGTCGTCAACATAAGCGCATCCACGAGACTCTCATTATTCTCTTATCCCTGTCGCCTTTCTTGACT